GGGAGATCAGGAGAACTTGGAACGGACATTTACTGTTTTCGCACAAATTTCTTGACCAGAACCCAGTCATCGGGGAGCAGACTGTGGTTGCCTGTGTCAGAATCAGGATCTGGAATTGAAGAGAAAACTTGGGCATGGATTTTGTTTAAGGCGTTTGCGAGTTCAGTTACATAATCTACTAAAACATCAGTTTGAAGTTGTAGTTGTTGAGGAAAATAGCAACCTAGCCTAGGTGCAGTCCCAAATAGAATCTCATATAGGGACAATGAGGTAGTATTTTTGTACAAGAGCATTCATTAGATCCTTTGATAAATGTGCAGGTCCGTGTGCACATTGTACAACTGCTGGGTACAAATTCTTAGGGAGGCAGAACTTGAGGTTGTTGGAGTACACTCCATCCTTCAGAACTGCCCCTTTCTGTTTCCACTTCTGTATTTCTTCAGGGGCAACTGTAGCCTGTTGTTCCCGCAGCATTTTTAGGTCAGTTGGAAGAGTCTGCAGAGTAAATATGGGAGTTTCTTCATTTCCGGACACTCTTCTTTCCACTTCCTGTGGTTCTTTTGCAGCTTGTTTTGCAGCCTGATCAGCTAGATGGTTGCCCCTTGCTTCATCTGAGTCCAACTTCCCATGTGCTTTTATCTTCAAAATAGCCACTTCTTCTGGGAGTAGGAGGGTGTCCATCAGCTCCTTGATTGCGGAACCGTGCTTGATTGGTGTACCGGCGGTGGTAAGAAATCCTCTTGTTTTCCAAATTAATCCGAAGTCGTGAGCCACGCCCAGTGCATATCTTGAATCCATGTAGATATTGGCGCGCTTTCCTTCAGAGATCTTGCATGCTGAAGTCAGGGCTTGCAATTCAGCTTCTTGTGCAGACATAGTTGATGGTAAAGATGATGATTTGACAATTTCATCTATTGTGGTTACGGCATATCCTGTATGGTATCTTCCTTCTTCATCAGCATATCTTGAGCCGTCCACAAACAGGGTGAGATCGGGATCTACCAATGGGTCTTCATGCACAGTTGGTAGATGTGTTGTTTCCATTTTCATCTGTTCAAAACAGTCATGAGATGTATTTGGGTCGTAGTCATTCACTATGGTTAAATCTTGGAACTCATTCTCCAGGAAATGACGCGGCCATGCTTTTAGGTGGTCAGTTGGATATTTGACAACACCATTTTCCTGTAGCTGTGATTCGTCCATAGTGGCCCATGCTTTTGCCATAGGCCCAAGATCATTCCATGATATTGTTTTCAACTTGGTCACAGGGACATGTGGAATGGCAGTGTCCCAATGACGGTACAAATGCTTGAGTTCCGGAGGTAGATGAATCAAGACCATACTGTTGCCTTCAAAATCACAGTAGAAGTCTTGTGCAGTGAGTTTTACTTCGACCAGATGATAGAGTTCATCTTCATAGCAGGTTTCAGGAGTGATGTTTGATTTGTACCACATGGTACAGAAGGCATATCCTGCTCCGTCATGAAGGAGTGCTTGTCCATCATGAAAGGATAGGTTGGGATGCATTTCCTTCTTGATGGTGCCAGTGAGAAGAAAAACATAAGTTTCGTCCATGATGAATCCGTAGTATACACCCCCCTCAGGGAGTGGCAGAAGAGTGGACGGATTGAGAACTTGACATCTTTGGAGGGTAATGTTGTCAGGCAACAAAAGATGACATTGAAGGCGAAGATGCCTAGCAGGAGTAACATGCTTAAGTTGGACCTGGTTGACTATGGCAGAAATGTCATGGGGGGCCAAGACAACCAGGGGGTGGCCAAGGACAAGATCTCCAGTTCTTTCAATGAGCTCTCTGGCAGCAAAGACGGCCCGAAGGCAAGAGGGACGTCCTCTGGCCACAATATCCAGTTGGCAGGAGAAAAATCCAATAGGCCCTTGGCGGCCTCCAGGACCATGGGCCTGAGTGAGCACTCCTGTTGCATGGCCTTGTCTTTCAGAAACAAACAATTTGCATGCCACTGAGAAGGCTGTCAATTTGGTGTCTTGAGCAGATGTGGGTGAGGAAAGTAAAGATGCTTGACGTACCTGATCTTCTGTAGCAACAGCAAATCCAGTATGGTACCTTTCCTCTTCATCCGCAAACAGAGTGGAGTCAGGATCTGGCAAAGCTACTGCATGCCTTGTTGAGAGGTGTCTTATTTCTTCTTTCATCTGTTCAAAGCAACCATGAGGAGTAGTAGAAGAGATATCCTCACCTATTTCTGTGTGAGATTGAGGGTATTTGTCTTTCCATTTACAGTTCTCTTGCTGCCCCCCCTCTGTAGAGAGCTGATATCGATTTTTAGTGTTTCATGTTTTATTGAGTCAGGTTCCTTTTATGAGATTTCTGGGGACTTAGTGAAGAAAACATGAGGTGCAGCCACCTCCCAGTGATGATACAGGTTTCTTATTTCCATGGGAATCTGGGTCAGGACCGCACTATTTCCTTGAGAGTGCCCAAAACAGTCTGAATAATAATTTTTTTTTTTAGTGTGGTATTCCCCCCTGGGAAGTGGCGGAAGAGGGGCCAGAGCAACTTTTTTTTTTTGTTTTTGTTTTTTTTCAAAATATAATGTTGTCAGGTAGGGGACAAGGTAGAGTAGAGAGAGGAGTAGGAGGAGGAGAAGGTGGAGTAGGAGGGAGGAGTAGGAGGAGTAGAAAGTGAAGTAGAGGGAGGAGTAGGAGGAGGAGAAGGTGGAGTAGAGGGAGGAGAAGGTGGAGTAGAAGGTGAAGTAGAGGGAGGAGTAGGAGGAGGAGAAGGTGGAGTAGAGGGAGGAGAAGGTGGAGTAGAAGGAGGAATAGGAGGAGTAGGATTGAATAAGAGGAGGAGGGAGGAGTAGGAGGAGGAGAAGGTGGAGTAGGAGGAGGGGAAGGTGGAGTGGGAGGGAGGAATAGGAGGAGTGGAAGGTGAAGTAGAGGGAGGAGTAGGAGGAGGAGAAGGTGGAGTAGAGGAGAGGAGAAAGAGGAGGAGAAGGAGGAGGAGAGAGAAGTAGAAGGAGGAGAAGGTGGAGTAGGAGGAGGAGTAGGAGGAGGAGAAGGTGGAGTAGAGGGAGGAGAAGGTGGAGTAGAAGGTGAAGTAGAGGGAGGAGTAGGAGGAGGAGAAGGTGGAGTAGAGGGAGGAGAAGGTGGAGTAGAAGGAGGAATAGGAGGAGTAGGATTGAATAAGAGGAGGAGGGAGGAGTAGGAGGAGGAGAAGGTGGAGTAGGAGGAGGGGAAGGTGGAGTGGGAGGGAGGAATAGGAGGAGTGGAAGGTGAAGTAGAGGGAGGAGTAGGAGGAGGAGAAGGTGGAGTAGAGGAGAGGAGAAAGAGGAGGAGAAGGAGGAGGAGAGAGAAGTAGAAGGAGGAGAAGGTGGAGTAGGAGGAGGAGGAGTAGGAGTAGGCAGGGGTGGGCAGGTAAGGGAGCAGACAGGTCTCCGAATGGAGGCGTGGGTATGTAGCAGTGGAGGATACATCAGAAATCAGAATTAAGTAGAAATGCAATGGAGGCTGCAAATAGCACATGTACAACAACTGTTAACTGGCCCTATGCTTTCCCTAGAGAAAAATAATAAAAGGCTAACAAGCACATCTGTCTGTACAGGCCTCGAACGCTTCACTCCGTGGGTATCCCGCAGTGGCTAGTCCACTACATCTCCCACACCAGACTTTTGCTCGTAGAGACAGACGCTATCCCTGACTCTCTCTTTTTTTTTTCAACCTATTATAAAATATAACTCTTACTTACATCACAAATATACATTATCGCAATTTTATGTCTCGCAAAAGGGATAAAACTTATTTTACTCTTCACTGATAATGTATTAAAACTTACAAAATAGACAAATAACATTGTTTTTCTGCGAGATAAATGAAAAAGATAATGGAGGTTTTGTTAAGCTTTACATTTAGCTATACATTAATTTATCCTTTCTGGTTTCCAGTTTCTGGCTGTTAATGACAATGTACAATGTAATAGAGCAGCAGGAAAAGCTAGCAGAATGCTTGGTTGTATAGGGAGAGGTATTAGCAGTAGGAAGAGGGAAGTGCTCATGCCATTGTACAGAACACTGGTGAGACCTCACTTGGAGTACTGTATACAGTACTGGAGACCATATCCTTAGAAGGACATGGATACCTTAGAGAAAGTTCAAAGAAGGGCTGCTAAACTGGTTCATGGATTGTAGGATAAAACTTACCAGGAAAGGTTAAAGGATCTTATCATGTATAGCCTAGTGGAAAGACGAGACAGGGGAAATATGATAAAAGCATTTAAATACACAAAGGGAATCAACACAGTTAAAGTGGAGTCTATATTTAAAAGAAGGAAAACTACCATAACAAGAGGACATAGTCTCAAAAATAGAGGGACAAAGGTTTAAATAAAAATACTATCAGGAAGTATTACATTACTGAGAGGGTAGTGGATGCATGGAATAGCCTTCCAGCTGAAGTGATAGAGGTTAACACAGTAAAGGAGTGTTTAAGCATGCGTGGGATAGGCATAAGGCTAAGCACTTGCTGCTAGTAACAGATCTAGAATCAATACACTATAATGCCCAAAGTCTCGACTTCTATGCATATATAATAATAAAATATCTGGGCTTACATTAAAAAAATATGTTAGTCAGTCTTTAATCTTGGTGGTTAACATTATCTAATAAAGACAGATTGGAACACCCTCCCCCCTTATCCATTTGTTAGTAGTTAGGCTCATAATGTTTTCTGGTTCTTTTCAATTAGATCAAAACATCTTGAGACCAATCTTTAATTGTATTACCATTTGTTCAAGAAATCTTTGTTTATTAGAAATTTCTTTTAGCATGTTATCAATTTTTTGTACACAAAGTTAATACATATTGTTACTTAACACGTGAAGATCTCGTCAGCCATGGATGGCCAGAACTGACACGATATATGGGCAGATATGACCTCACTAAGGGCAGAGTGAAGGCACTTAAGGACAACCTTCTTTTGTTCTAGGGGCCATTTTCCTTTAGGGCATACTAAGTCTCTCTGGAGGCGTGGGTTTCATGGGAAGTAACATTCTGTTCGGCAAAATGAAAATCTGAACTGTGGACAGACTTGACGGATTAAATAAGACAGTTGTGAATATTATACATCTAACAGCCCACAAAGCTGTCTCTAGAAACATATACTAACTTAATAACTTCTATTCCTGCATCAGATTCACTCCCTAACCATCCTATCAATTTCTATTGAGATAACAAAATACACAATTAGAATATTTTCTAGCAAAAATTTCATTGCTAAAATCTTATCAGTAGCTTCTGAATAACTCTACAGAACACCGAAGAGACAGACCTAAATCGCAAGCATGTCACCACCCCCCTCCGCCCCCTCCCCCCCGCGTCTCACAGAAGCGAGGGGAGGGGGGGGGTGTTTTAGCAGAGGGGGATTTGAGTGGAACAAGAGAGAGACTGCCTGCCAGCACGAATTTAACCATGTCAACGCTGTACAGTAACAAGACAGAAGGACAATTACATTACAAAGCAAAAACACAACATTTCATTTAAACCCCCACCCTCTACCAGGGTAATGGCTAACACAAAATACAAAAACCCCACAGCGTTTTAAGATTGGGGTGGGATGGTGACCATGGTCAGCTACATTTCGGTCATTACTGACAGGATGATGGAAGTGGTCACCTCCTGGAACCCCCGACAGGGCACTGGCTGGGATAACTTCCCAGTAACACAATTATTATGATATACATACAGTTCTTAACCCTTTATGATTTATCTCTTCCTCTACCCAACCCTCCTGCTGGATAGCCTTTCTACTCTGTACCATGCTTCAGCAGTACGCAATAAATCATTATCTGTAAGCTTGCCTTTCTTCTCTGTCAGTAATCTACGCCAGCTTTCTGGCTGTAATCTACCACATGAAGGCACAGCAATTTTACACACTTTAGCAATCTTTGCAACATTTTTAACCAGTTCTTCACCTTCTCTATCTTCAACTAAATCACACGTGAGCCAGCCCCTAGCGGGCTTACTCGTTTCCTGTCCCATATCCCCCTATACAAAGCGTATAAAAACATATACAAAGTATAGGTGAAGGAAAATGAAACAGAACGTCTACAATGCTCGACTGCCACTAGGAAGGGTGGGTCCCTCCCAGTGCGTCTTCCCAAAACGTAGACCAGTCACTGACTCCGTGTACCCTCGATGGTAACCACGGATTGGAGCGGGGTGAGAAGTGTGTGACCAATCACTTCTCTTTCAAGAGAAATAGGAGTGGATAGTGTAAATAGTACAGGAAGTAGAGGAAAAGTAAACAGTGAAAGTAGAGACAGACCCAGGAGTTTGAATGACTCCACACTTAAGACAACATTTAATACAACATTTCAATTGAAATACAGTGCATGCATCAACAGTAATCCCTTTCCTTTACTCTTGTGGCCACCAAGACCACCTCCCTCAATCTCGTAGTGTCCCCGCTCGGAGAACAACTTTCGTAAGTTTCACTACCAGCGGCCAAGGATAACGACTAACACCGGCCCGAAATCCATATGCCTCCCTCGTTACAGCAGTCCACTAAGTGTGGCCACCTCTATCCTCACTCCCGTAGTGCTCCCTATGGACCCACCCACAAGTCACACTACCCCGTGGTGATGGAGACAACAATGCCTGCCCGAATCCACACACCACAAATAAATTGGAATGCCACCAGCCTCAGCGCTCGAAGCTGGAGGGTACCATAACCTCTGCAAGCAGAGCAACGTACACAATGAGGCTAGCTAGAATATCAAAGTGACGTAACCGGGAAACCCCAGGAGGCAAGTCCCCTCCACAGAATCCCCCAACCCTTCTTTTTCCTTACTACTGTTAGCTAGACAGTACCTAAAAGAAGTAAACAGGAAAACAGGACCCCTTTGGAAAATCCCCACAGGTCCACCCCCCCTTTTTTCCCAACAGTCTGGGCCAAGTGACTCCTAAAAAGGGGTAAAAACAGGCAACAGAAGACCCCCAGGCAACCACCCACGGGTCCACCCCCCTTTATCTCTAAAGAGGGAAAGAACAAAACATATACCACTAGCACACCCAGGCAACAGATAGACTAAATGCAGGTAAACAAATGGGTAACAAGACACCGGGCAAGATATTACCTGTCTTTGATGCCCTCCCGGGAAGCAGTCACAGACACGTGGACGGGTCAATCAAAGGGGCTGGAACATACCGGTGGCTCCTGCAGAAGTCTCTACCGTGTACTCAGAGGTGATCAGTCTCTCTTCCTTCCCCCCTGATTCCTCCGTCCAACAGCGTCTTCCTTAGGACGGCTTACCGGCGGAGGCCATAGCCCGATGCCCCACGTTGGATGGACGCCAGATTGATGTAGATTAATTTAGAAATAAACAAAAATGTTTAAAAGTCTATCTGTTCCTGTCCAAATCTGAGATGAATAAATTGCGTATACGCAGAAGTAAGTTCACACTGACACATGCAGTTCAGGTTAAAAACACTTCAGGAAATTTATTAGCATCTAGTTAAAAAGCGGGCACGCAGGCCTTTTTATATGCAAAATGACATCATCATTGAATATCAGATAATAACAAATAAACATCATTAATTGGGTTAAATGTTAAGTGGCTATGTCAGTGTCCACCCATTAATATTATTAATTGGCTCAGAGATTTGAGTGACTAGTGAGGCACCCTCCCATCATGGGATGTCGTCGCCATTGCTCTTTAGCACGAGGCTTACTCGGTGGAAAGGGGGGCTTGGGCGTCATTTTACGTAGTTAGTGATGTCAGTCTCGTGGTCTGTTCCAAGGTTCTTTTATGAATAGAACATTTCATTTTGTCACTGTTCTCCTGGCCTTGGATTATACTATGTTGCAAGTCAACGGAGATCCGCTAACTCCGGGGCTAGTTATGTCCTTAGAGAGAGAAAATACAATCTCTTATTCATTATACTGAATACTGTCAGGAAATTCTGTCATGTAAGGTGAACAAAATGGAGTTAGTACAATAATTCAATACAGGTTCTAATAAAGATTTTAATAATTCTACATCACTCTCTGGACTGAGCCCAGAGAGTACCCCTCTCCAATTTAGGACCCCCAGGGGCCATGTGACCGCTCTAAAAGAGCGATCACATGGCCCCCATAGGTGTGTCCATTGTGCTGCCAGCAGGGGGACTGCCTGAACTGACACAGTCCCCCTGCTGGTGGAAAAGTAAAAATAAAGTTGTTAAGTTAAAATAAATAAATAAGTTATAAAAAATGTGTGTATGTATGTGTGTGTGTATGTATATATATATATATATATATATATATATATATATATATCAATCAATATATGTGTGTATATATATCTTATATATAACGTCATATATGAGATATATATATATAACATTATATTAATATAAAAATACACAGTAAAATTACACATATATATGTACATATATTATGACAGATAAATAATAATTAAGAATACAATATAGTAGTATTACAGTGTGACAAACAAAAAAAATGAATGAAATAAGAAGTCCTCAAAACACCTTAGTGAGTTTCCCTTTCACCTCACAGCAAGTTACAATACATACAATATAAGGTGGAGATTCTTCTTCTTATAACAGGTTTTCAATAATAGGTAATCCTAAAAGCAAAGAGAAATAAGACACACAATAGTGCAATATTGTCTATAAACTATAGAGAATATGGTGAGGTAGGTGGAATATCACTCACAAATAGAGAGCCTCTAGATAGGGCTCAATTTTCCAGTATTGTGGGATATAAGGTTCCCACTGCTTTCTTTATATTGCTGGTAGCCAAGTATGCTCTCAGGGACAGGTATGTTATTCCAAAGTGCTTTATTATAAATGCACAAATATAGTAAAATAAAGATAAAAAATATAAAAATAACAAGACCTTACAGTATTGAAGGTAGGTAGTAGAATGAGTCCTTAGTGCAAAACGCGTTTCGCCTCATTCAGAGGCTTCATCAGTTGCTGTGGAGTGTATAAAACATGTCCTTGTTAAATAGTCCATAATGAGAGTTCATTAGGAAATGGTGGTCCTGACGTTATTTCCGTTTCCAGGTGGTTGCGTTCCATCAGTGGAACGCAAGCATCACCGTCGTGCATACGTTCGGGCGGGACTTCCGCTTCCAGGTATTTGCGTTCGCGATCATATTTCCTATGCAATAGAGCACATCCTTGTGTTCTATTACATTAAATGCATGACCATTCCTTTATATTATAAGTAACTCTTATGGGAAGCAATAGAAACAAGGGAAAAAAACACAATATTGAAGTGCAGGAATAAGTGGAGCCAAAGCAACCAGAAAAAGAGACAACAAGCACATATAGATAGGCAGTAAAATGTATATACTCTAGAAGGTAAAGGTGCAATAATCGATAGATATTTCAATCACATAAAAAAACATAGAGTATAGGTAAAATATTTTAAAAGGGACAGATACATAATAAAATACATTATTATAAACCAAATACATAATAAAATGCATGATAGAAATTAAACTTTAGCGTTAAAAAATTCTTCTAAGAAAAAACTAATTAAAAAAAATCTTTTATGTTTAAAAATTACAAACTTCGAAGTCTGAGTTTAACCCATGGGGGATCAGAGTTTTAAAATTATAAATAAAACACATTTCTTCTTTGCCCAATAACTTTATATAGTTACCCCCTCTCCAGTCTCGTTTGACTTCCTTTATTGCACAAAAGAACAGATTTTCTGGATTTTGGTTATGGGTCTCTTTAAAATGTAAGGACACACTATGAGTTTCTAGACCATTTTTAATATTGCGGATGTGTTCGGCAATTCTAACCTTTAAAGGTCTAATGGTTCTTCCTAAATATATTAAATTGCAGGGGCATTTTAAGATATATATAATGCCCTTAGTATGACAAGTGAGGTGGTCTTTGATGATATAGGGTTTGTGAATAATATCCTCTATATTTTCTAAATGTCACTTAGTACTTTTAGTGACTTTACATGGGAGGCACATGCCACACCCGTAGAATCCTTTAAAATCTTGAATAAAGTGCTTTGGTTTCTTGGAAGTTAAATGACTTTTAACTAAAATATTTTTTATATTTTTTGCTCCTCTGTATGTAATTTTAGCTTTTGAGGGTAAAATTTTATTTAAAATTGGATTATCCTTGAGTAAGTGCCAGTGTTTTTTTATAGTGTGCTGTATGCGTTTATTTTGCCTGTTAAAATTGCAAATAAAAGGAATTTCATTAGTATCGGCTAATATGTTCTTTTGTTTATATTGAATAAGATTTTCTCTTTTTAGTTTTCCTACTTCATCTATGCCTTGATTAAGAAGTGCTTCATTATATCCATTTTCCATAAACTGTTGTTTAATATAATTGGCCTGTTCTAGATAATCTATATCTAATTTGCAGTTACGTCTAATTCTTATAAATTGGCTTTTAGGAGCATTATTAAGCCAAGGATTGTGGTGGCAGCTGCTTTTTTTGATGTAGCTATTTGCATCTATAGGTTTGAAGTGATTTTTAGTGATGATCCTAAAGTCCTGAATACTGATGTCTAAATCGAAAAAATTAATACTGGAATCACTAAAGGAGCTAGTTAGATGGATTCCATAATTATTAATATTAAGGTATAAAATAAATTCTTGTAGGGCTTCCATGGTTCCATTCCATATAAAGAAAATGTCATCAATAAATCGGCAATAGGACATCAAGTTCGTTTTTCACTGTTGCTCTATAAATACACATGTTTCTTCCCAAAATGCCATAAAAAGGTTGGCGTAACTTGGGGCGAATTTGGTGCCAATCGCAGTGCCGCAGATTTGCAAGTAAAAAGAATTTTCAAACCAAAAATAATTGTGGGTTAAAATAAGTAAAATTCCTTCTAAAATATACTCAATTTGTTCTGTTTTAAAATCTGATTTTTCTAAAAAATGTTTAACAGCTGCCAATCCTTTATCATGAGGGATAATGCTGTATAGAGAGGTCACATCGCATGTAACCAGTAGGTTTCCTTGTATCCATTTTATTTTTTCCAAAATTTGTAGAACATGAATAGTATCTTTAAGATAGATAGGATTCTTTATGACTATTGGTTGGAGTATGGTATCAATGTATTCAGAGACTCTTGTGGAAATGGAGTCAATGCCGGAGATGATGGGTCTCCCTGGAGGATTTTCTGCGTTCTTATGAATTTTAGGGAGGAGGTAGAAGACCGGTATTTTAGGATTATCTATCCACAAATAATCTGCTTCTTTATCAGTGAGAATCCCTATTTCTCTTCCTTTATCTACATATTATTTGAATATTTTAATTGTTTCATTGGTAGGGTTATGAGACAATTTTTGATAAGTTGAGGCATCAGACAGTATCATCTCTGCTTCTTTGACATATTGCTCTTTATTCAGGATTACTATTCCTCCCCCCTTATCTGCGGGTTTGATAACTAAGTTATCATCGTCTTTAATGTTCTTTAAAGCCTTTTTTTCCTTTATTGATAAATTTTGTTGATACTTATTTGTTTTTCTAAATTTTTCTATGTCTTTCATTACCATGATTTCAAACGTTTTAATTTCGTTAGAAATCAGGTGTCTGGTAAAGAAATGGGATTTATCTTTCAGTGATGTGTGAAAGTACTCCCTATTTCTCTTCCTTTATCTACATATTGTTTGAATATTTTAATTGTTTCATTGGTAGGGTTATGAGACAATTTTTGATAAGTTGAGGCATCAGAGAGTATCCTCTCTGCTTCTTTGACATATTGCTCTTTATTCAGGATTACTATTCCTCCCCCCTTATCTGCGGGTTTGATAACTAAGTTATCATCGTCTTTAATGTTCTTTAAAGCCTTTTTTTCCTTTATTGATAAATTTTGTTGATACTTATTTGTTTTTCTAAATTTTTCTATGTCTTTCATTACCATGATTTCAAACGTTTTAATTTCGTTAGAAATCAGATGTCTGGGAAAGAAATGGGATTTCTCTTTCAGTGATGTGTGAAAGTACTCATTACTCTGTATGTCCGGCTGATATTTGTCTCTATTATAAAAAAAAAATTTTAAGGCATAATTTTCTAATAAAAAGGTTCATGTCTACAAAAAAAAATCAAAAGGGTTAAAATCAGCTGTGGGGGCAAACTTTAAGCCTTTTTAAAAAACATCTATCTGTTCCGAAGTTAAAAGTTGGTTGGATAAATTAAATATTCCTTCTAAATTGAGGTTTTGCCTCTCTTCTCTCTGTGTTGATTTCTTCTTTCTTCTCTGTCTCCTTCTTCAGTTGATGGTTGTCTTTTCCCCTGTGTGTCCCAAGGTTGAGTTTTGTCCATCCATTTCCTTCTGTTTTGTATAAGGTCCTGTCGAAAAAAAAGAAGGTGAAGGGGGGTATCTGGGTGAGGGGATGTAGTATCATTAGGTTTCCTAGTAGTAATGGTAGGGGGAGTGTGATCTATCAGTGAAAGTGTGAAGTGTGTCTTTTCCTATAGCACTGTCGGGTTTTTTCTTTTGGATTCCTTTTTTGACTGCATCACTATATTTGGTGGAATTTATATTATTCATAGTGGCGGTGTTGGTGGGTCTATAATTGGTAGGATGCTGTCTCCTACTAGTTGGTGTGTAGTTCTGAGATGGTAGGGATTCGGCAGACTCATGATAATTTATTCTTGTGTGTGAGTGCCGTTGATTTGGTTGTGCCCTTTCTCTAAATCTGTCTGTGTGGGTTCTATATGAGGTTGTTCTACTATTTCCCCACTGTGTGTTTCTATCAGACCTTATTGATTGATATTTATTAGTTGATAGGCGTTGGGGGTGTGTTCCATAGTTATATTGCTGTCGTTCGTGGGGAATATTCTGAAGTTTGTTATTCTTTCTAGGGTCCCTTACATTGCCTGTGATGTCTCATTTTTTCTTTTTAATTTCTATGATGTCTAATTAAATTTTGTCCACTTTGATTTGGATTTCTCTCAAAGTGTTGTTATAGATTTCTGGACTTGTGGATTCAGCTAAGCAATTTTTCCATTTATTTATTTCCTCATCTAATTTTGGGAGAGTTTCTTCTCTCCTTGCCACTATATAGCCCATTGTACTAAAAGAAAATCCATCTAAAAGCTTGTCCCAACCTTCCATGAAGTGAGGATCTTCCCTGTCAAAACCAGGATCTTTATAGAATCTGAGACCTCTAGGAGTGATTTGGTCTCGAACATATTTTTTAAGGGTTGCTATTTCCCATTTAACTTTCATCTCTTTTATGAGAGTTTTTTCTAGGTTAAATCTTGATTTATTCTTATCATTATACTGTACAGTGTGATTTAATCCTGTAGTTCTTTCAAAACATGTGTCTATGTTTTGAGTACGGTATTCTCTATTTTCCAAAAAAGACATTTTGATATGGTGTACACTACAAATACTGAAAAGGGAATTATATCTGAGATATAAGTACAATACAATATAGTAGTATTACAGTGTGACACACAAAAAAAAAATTAACGAAATTAGAAGTCCTCAAAACACCTTAGTGAGTTTCCCTTTCACCTCACAGCAAGTTACAATACATACAATATAAGGTGGAGATTCTTCTTATTATAACAGGTTTTCAATAATCGGTAATCCTAAAAGCAAAGAGAAATAAGACACATAATAGTGCAATATTGTCTATAAACTATAGAGAATATGGTGAGGTAGGTGGAATATCACTCACAAATAGAGAGCCTCTAGATAGGGCTCAATTTTCCAGTATTGTGGGATATAAGGTTCCCACTGCCTTCTTTATATTGCTGGTAGCCAAGTATGCTCTCTGGGACAGGTATGTTATTCCAAAGTGCTTTATTTTAAAGTGCACAAATATAGTAAAATAAAGATAAAAAATATAAAAATAACAAGACCTTACAGTATTGAAGGTAGGTAGTAGAATGAGTCCTTAGTGCAAAACGCGTTTCGCCTCATTCAGAGGCTTCATCAGTTGCTGTGGAGTGTATAAAACATGTCCTTTTTAAATAGTCCATAATGAGAGTTCATTAGGAAATGGTGGTCCTGACGTCCAGACGTTATTTCCGTTTCCGGGTGGTTGCGTTCCATCGGTGGAACGCAAGCGTCATCGTCGCGCATACGTTCGGGCAGGACTTCCGCTTCCGGGTATTTGCGTTCCATCAGTGGAACGCATACGTCGCGATCATATTTCCTATGCAATAGAGCACCTACTTGTGTTCTATTACATTAAATGCATGACCACTCCTTTATATTATAAGTAACCCTTATGGGAAGCAATAGAAACAAGGGAAAAAAACACAATATTGTAGTGCAGGAATAAGTGGAGCCAAAGCAACCAGAAAAAGAGACAACAAGCACATATAGATAGGCAGTAAAATGTATATACTCTAAAAGGTAAAGGTGCAATAATCGATAGATATTTCAATCACATAAAAAAACATAGAGTATAGGTAAAATATTTTAAAAGGGACAGATACATAATAAAATACATTATTATAAACCGAATACATAATAAAATGCATGATAGAAATGAAACTTTAGCGTTAAAAAAATAAAATAAAAATAATTTTAAAAAATGATGTATATAAATGTCATTTTATTCTCACTGTATTTTGATATATATATGTATTTAAGGCCACAGGCCTGTATTTGTGGGAGGAGTTAGCATTACTATATAAACGCTACTCCCCCCTTCTTACCTTGCCGTACGCACGCTGTTCACCTCATCTCAGTGACAGCCGAACTTCCGGTCCCGGCGTCCTTCCGCTCCTCCTTTCATGCAAACATAGGAACGCCAAGATAATCGGCAAATAGCCACATTCGGGCTATTTGCCGTTTGACAATTTCCAATCATATTATACGTTTTTTTTTCTTTTCTTTCCCCCTCTTTTTGTTCACACGAACTAAAACACTCGAACGAATTAGAACAGGCGAACGCCCTTACAATATTCATTTACACAAGCTGTCACAAGTTAGCTTCACCCTTCCTGATTGATTAATAATTATAAAGTCCATTTACCTCTTAACCCCTTCATATTGAATTCCTTATCAAACGTGTGGGATTCATTTTAATGAGGTAGAGATACATATGTTTATATTTCTATATTTATATTAGGATGCTGCAATTCACTGGGTGATCTAATTCCGGTGAATTATTTTAAGTACAATATTCAATCATACTTGAGCTATCAACTTCCCACTGGCAGGACTTACCTATAATAAAGGCTGTTCTGTACCTCCATGACAATCTTTGCTGTACGTATATTTCTCAGCCAGTGCTTGTCAATCTCTGACAGGCAGTGTGTGTGTGTCATTTCATGTCATTTTACCCCCCACCCCCTGCCCACCCATCCCTATATCTCTCCCGTTAACAGCAGCCGGACATCACCCAGGCTGAGCTGCCATATCACATCAATACAGTGTATCTCACAGGCAGCTGATCTGTGGCACCCACACACAGAGCACGCTCAGAGCTCTCCCTCCAGGCAGTGGGATTATACCCCAGCTAGGAACACAAGAACACAATAACGGCGGGGTAGATTTAATATCAGGAGCCCGGCAAATACCTGATTGTGATTGATGGAGTTTTTAAATCAACCTTTCTGCATATGTATATGGCATATCAGAAGCTCAAGAAAAGAACATTCTCTAAACCAGCTATCATTTAATTTTGGCCACTCTTGCCTTAAATTTAAAAAAATTATCTTTGAATTCTCCTTGATTTCACATTTCAGTTAATAATCTTGTGTAATCTAACCTCTGGACTGTAAGCTCATTTGAGCAAAAATCTCACCTCTCCTTTACAAATGTATTAATCACTTGTTTGCTGTTGTACAGTGTGTAAAAAAATAATGCCTTGCGCACACAGCATC